TGTTTAAATTTTAGGATGTGCCCATAAATTTTAGCATGCCCCAAAATAAGCTGTGTAGTTAATTACCCCTTTTGCTGGTCCAGTTGTTGGCRTGGGATCAGTTCAGGAAAATGGTTGGAAGCCCYKGMTTTGGKTTTTTTTCTGAAATRYTGAGTTTCTGGYGCTGTGAAAGCACTTTTCTCACRATCYTGGAGGTTCATGGCTGGACTTTGTGGGTTTCTCTCCCCTCACAGGGGAAGTTCAAGCCTTCTACGAGGACCTGAACGGGCGGCAGTACGTGAATGAGGTGTTCAACTTCAGCGTGGACAAGCTCTACGACCTGCTCTTCACTGACTCCCAGTTCCAGAGGGATTTCATGGAGCAGCGCCGTTTCTCTGGTGAGCAGCTGCTGCTGGGGCTCTCACAGGGCAAAGCCTCCTCCTTGGAGGTGGGATTTTGGCAGTTTGGGTGACATTCTGAGCGGATTTTGGGATGATGAGACCCGTGCTGGCAGTTACCAGAAGCAGGGAGAAGTTTTGTGCTCATCTAGTTCCACTTTCTAACAGCTGGAATGGCTTTTTTTAAAGGAAAAAGCAGATTTTCTTATACTTTTATCATCACTTTAGGCCTGATCCTCTGTTCTAAGCTGAGGGAAAAACTCTTTAAGCTGACACTGGCATGGACAGAGCTGCAGGGAGCATCCCTTGGCATGTCATAAACCTGTAGATTTGCTGAAGGAGATAAATCCCCAGCCTCTCCCCCTTTCCCTGTGCTTGAAAAAGGGGAAAATATTCACATTTGGCACAGGAGCCCTTCCTTTCATACTCAGCTGAGCTCTAGGGCAGCCAGGCTCTCCAAGGGGAAGGAAATACCATCCCTAGCGTGGTTATATGGCTGTGGAAGGAAATACTGTGGTTATATGGTTATGGTTCCCCCAGGGAATCTCATCAGAGATTTCTCTCCATGATTTGACTGGAACGTTGTTTTTTCCTCTCAGATATTATCTTTCACCCCTGGAAGAAGGAGGAAAATGGCAATCAGACCAGAGTGATCCTGTACACCATCACCCTCACCAACCCCCTGGCCCCCAAAACTGCCACAGTCACTGAGACCCAGGTGAGTGAMAAGGGCAGCAGGGTTGGGATATTTGGTAAAAACCACTCTGAGAGTTATTTCCTTCTCTTGAGCWCATTTTCATTGCCCCTGTCCATTTTCCTGTTCATTTTTCTTTTTATCAACTTACTGCCCTGCAGCTTTGAGCAGTTAATCTCACACTTGCCCTGGGTTGCAAGGAAAAAAACACAAATTTCCCAACAAAAATCTGAGTTTGTGAGCAAGGCAGCACATCCTGTGTGTCCTCACTGCAGATTTAAGTGGAAATAATCTCAGAAAGAGCCATATTTTGTCCATGGATCAGTGCTGAGCCCTGTCTGTCTGTCTGTCTGTCCTCTGTGAGAGCTTTGCCCTGCAGCAAAGGGAAAAGTCAAGTGTTTTAAGCACGTCAGAAGTGCTTAAAATGAGTAACTGATGGGTTTTTATGGTGTTCAGAGTMAAGGAATAATTTTGGTAGAAAATTTATTAGCCAGAATTTCTGCTAAAACCTCTGATTTTGGTTCAGGTGGGTCCCAGATACCAACAGTGAGGTCACACTTGGAAAAGACCCCTCAACCTGGTCCCCACCATCTCTAACACCTCTRTTACAAAATCCTGGAGGCTGGGAGTGAATTCCCCTTTTAAAATGCACCCAGGAGGGCATCTGGGTGAAACTCTTGCTTTCCTCTGCCTTCCCTTTGGGGTGAGCCACTCCCAGGGGCTGCAGGGCTGGGGTTGGACCCTGGGGGTGTCCCTGTGCTGCTGACAGTGCCAGGGTCCAACCCTGGAGTGTTCCTGTGCTGCTGACAGTGCCAGGGTCCAACCCTGGAGTGTCTCTGTGCTGCTGACAGTGTCAGGTTGGACTCTGGGGTGTCTCTGTGCTGCTGACAGTGCCAGGTTGGACCCTGGGGTGTCCCTGTGCTGCTGACAGTGCCAGGTTGGACCCTGGGGTGTCCCTGTGCTGCTGACAGTGCCAGGGTCCAACCTTGGGGGTGTCCCCATTTTGCTGACAGTGCCAGATTGGACCCTGGGGTGTCTCTGTGCTGCTGACAGTGCCAGGGTCCAACCCTGGGGTGTCCGTGTGCTGCTGACAATGCCAGGTTGGACCCTGGGGTGTCCCTGTGCTGCTGACAGTGTCAGATTGGACCCTGGGGTGTCCCGGTGCTGCTGACAGTGCCAGGTTGGACCCTGGGGGTGTCTCATGCACTGCTGATGGTTCCAGCCTCTCCAAGCCATGCCCTGCCCACCCTAAAAGCTGCCCTACCCTCTGTTTTTGCTGCAGACAATGTACAAAGCCAGCCAGGAGAGCGAGTGCTACGTCATCGACGCAGAGGTGCTAACTCACGACGTCCCCTACCAYGATTATTTCTACACCATTAACCGCTACACACTGACCCGTGTGGCCAGAAACAAAAGCCGACTCAGGTACCTCTCCTGGGGGGTTGGGAGCTTTGCTCTCCCTCTGGGAGGGAGTTTGGGTGTGCTGGGAGGGAGTTTGGGTGTGCTACAAGGGCTTGAGGGGGTTATTTCTTTGTGCTGGATTTTCTCCTGCTGGGGTGATGTGGTACAGAGGAGTTGCAGCACCATCAGGGAGAGGGGGAAATGCTGGAAGGGTGTCTTGGACAGGGAATGGAYRCAGAATCACAGAAATCCTGGAAATGACTGAGCCCTGCTTTAACTGGGATGGTTTTGGTGCCTGGGTTTGGTACATGGATTTGGAAACATCTCTTAAGTCACCAGTGGAAATTTCATTATCTCATTCTCCTGGTGGAAGAGTGGCTGGGAAATCTCCTAAAAGAATCCAGACCCCTTTGGAGGGTTTACAGACTTTTCCTGCCTCCTTCTTGGAGCAGGGGTTTGCAGAGCCTGTTATCACACACTATTAACAACAGGATGTACTCCTGGGAGAAGAAGCAGAGGAATTGGTACCAGGCAAAACTGTGTCACTGTTGGCTAAACAGCAACACAAAATAATAGACATAAAGATATACAGAAAAAAAAGAGAGAAGGAGAGTGAAAAAGAGTACTTTATTGTGGGACAAGCCTCTTTTATTTATTTAGTAACCAGGGTATACATTGGTTAAGAGACAATTGTTTAATTAATAATCAGTATATGATTGGTAGGTTTGCAAAAGCTACAGTATTAGTAATGTTTATAATTTTCAGCTACTTGAGTTATCAATTTTACATTCTAATCTCCTTTTCTCTAAAGTAGCCAAGGATGTGGTATTCTTCTTCTATGCAGGTTGTTAACACTCCCTTTTATTTCTCAGGACTCAGTCACACACAATAATTGGCTGAGTTTCAGATTCAGGACTTGTGGGGCCACTTTTTTCCCCCACAAAGCTGKGGGGCCACTATTTTCCCCCTGTGACTTCAATAATGGCAATCTAAATGTCTGCCAAATGTCTGTGGAGGGCTCTTGGGAGAGGCTCTTCCTGCCTTTGGAAGGGTTTTTCCAGCAGTGCTTCTCCTCTGGAAACACCAAGGGCTGAGACCATTCCAGAAACAACAGTCTGTGATTATTTCCTGGATTTTCACTGGCAAAGATTATTAATTGATGTCACCCTCAGGAAGCAAAGCCAGGGGAATGACAAACCCAGGGAATCCCTTTTCTCCTTACAGGGTTTCCACAGAATTACGCTACAGGAAGCAGCCTTGGGGGYTGGTGAAATCCTTCATTGAGAAGAACTTTTGGAGTGGCCTGGAGGATTATTTCCGTCATTTGGGTAAGGGTGGCAATGACAGTGGCACTCCTGTTTCCCTGGGAGTGGGCAGACTTGGGGTGGCTCGTAAAAGGGGCTGCCATTGCAGTCATTATGGGATTAATCAGGGCACCAAATCCTGCTTTTTGTCAGGAGTGTGGGGTGAAGGTTTGGCAAAGCTCGGCATTCATTCATAGGTTTGTCAGGAGTGTGGAGCACAAATCTCTCAAACCCTGTGTTCTGGTTCTGCCAAACTCTGCAGACCTTCTTTAGATATTACCTCAAAAATTTTTAGCTTTTTCAGGAGCAAAAACAATATTGGACAATTCTGTGCTTGTCTGAACAAAATCCTTGTGGTGTCCAAAGCTTGAACACTGATATTTTGTGGAGCTGATCCAATCCATCATGTGTTTTACAAACACTGATGCCTTAGTATTTCAGTTTCTCTATTTCCATGTCTCTGTACCCCTGGGATTCCTCAGTGTTTAACTCCAGACTCCACAGACAGTGCTGAGCTCCTGCTCTCCCATTTTAACAAAACAATTCCTTCAACTTTTTTTGGCCATTAGAGAGATTCAACCTCTCTCTGTCTCTGCAAAGCCACAACTCTCCCCCTGTACCGGGCACTGGTGAGGCTGGACCTTGAGTGCTGTGTCCAGTTCTGGGCCCATTTAGGATGGATGTTGAGACACTTGGGAGTGTCCAGAGGAGGCAGCGAGGATGGGGAAGGGTTTGGAGCACAAACCCTGTAAGGAATGGCTGAGGGAGCTGGGGGTGTTCAGCCTGGAGAAAAGGAGACTCAGAGTGACCTCAACACTCCACAACTGCCTGAAGGGGCTGTGGGCAGGGGGGGTCGGGCTCTTTCTCCAGGCAGAACCAGAGGACACAGCCTTGAGCTGCACCAGGGGAAATGTAGGCTGGACATCAGGAAAAAGTTCTTTACAGAAAGAGTGATAAAGCACTGGGATGGTCTGCCCTGGGAGGGGGTGCAGTCACCATCCCTGGATGTGTTTAAAGAGAGATTGGATGTGGTGCTGGGTGCTGTGGTTTGGTTGAGGTGTTGGGCATGGGTTGGACTGGAAGATCTTGGAGGTCTCTTCTAACCCTGGTGATTCTGGGATTCTGGGATTTTGTGATTCTGAGATTAACCCTGTCCCCTGGTGCTGCAGAGAGCGAGCTGACCAAAACAGAGAGCACGTACCTGGCCGAGGTGCACAGACAATCCCCCAAGGAGAAGGTGAGCAAGCAGTCCACGGTGCGCCGGAGGAAACGCGCCCACACCCACCTGAGGGTGCCACACCTGGAGGAGGTGCTGAGCCCTGTCACCACCCCCACGGACGAGGAGGTGGCACATCGGATCAAACACGTGGCAGGTGAGGAGCTGCACCCTTRGGGATGGGGAGGAGAGGGGGTTTTGTCATAGAGGGGTGGGGAGGATGTGTGGGGTTGTTGGGGTGAGGTGGAGGGGTGGGGAGAGGGTCAAGGGTTGCCCTTCTCTGTTCCTCATCCCAAACCCATCCCAGGTAAAGAAGGAGGAGGGGGGGAGGATGAAGGGTTTCTCTTCCCTGTTCCCCATCCCAAACCCATCCCAGGTAGAGAAGGAGGAGGGGGTAGAGGATCAAGGATTGCCCTTCCCTGTCCCCATCCCAAATCCATCCCAGATAAAGGAGGAGGGGGTGGAGAATGAAGGGTTTCCCTTCCCTGTTCCCCATCCCAAAGCCATCCCAGATAAAGGAGGAGGGGGTGGAGAATGAAGGGTTTCCCTTCCCTGTTCCCCATCCCAGAGCCATCCCAGGTAGAGAAGGAGGAGGGGGTGGAGGATGAAGGGTTTCCCTTCCCTATCCCCATCCCAAAGCCATCCCAGGTAGAGGAGGAGGAGGAGGGGGTAGAGAATAGAGGGTTTCCCTTCCCTGTTCCCCATGCCAAAGCCATCCCATCTCCTCAGGTTCCACTCAGACACGGCACATCCCCGAGGAGAGCCCCAGTGGCTTCCACCTGCAGAGTGTCTCCAAGCTGCTCCTCGTCATCAGCTTCGTGTAAGTGATGGGGTTTTTCTGGTTTCAGCAGCTCAGCAGTGAGAGCTCTTTGGTTTGGGTGTCATTCCTGCCACACCTTTCAGGACTGGGAGTCTTGGACTAGGATGTGTCCTCCAAGCGAGCTGGGAGCAGTCCCTGTGGCTCAATTTAATATAAAAATTCATTTATTTCCTGTTTCTCTGCCCTCGAGCTGGCAGCAGGCTGTTTAGTGCTGCAGTGGTGSTGTGGAGCAGAACAGTCTAAAGCACTGATCGAGGATTTTCTGACTTTCCTCAAGCTCCACCACCTTTTCAGTGATGAGGGATGAAATTACAGCTTGAGTTGAGCTCCTTTCAGTGTTTCCTCATCCCAGTGGGGTCACAGAGCTTTGCAGCAGCACCCAGTGATAAATGAGGTGCTGTGAGGCACTGCTGTGATAAGAAGGTACTAAAAGGTACCAAAGCTTTGTGCCAGTGTGTCCTGGGAGCTTCAGTGGGGTCACAGAGCCCTGTGGGATGTTTCCAGAATATTCTGGCGTTTCCAGAACGCTCCTCTGGCCAGTTGCCATCCCTGACTGAACTGGTCATACTGGRCCATTCTTCAGCAGAGCAGCTGTGCTGAGCAGGGACAGGCACCAGGGCTGGCACTGGGAACTCACTGCCCAGGAGGAGAGAATGCCCTGGGGATGGGGAGGAGAGGAGCAGGGCAGGAGCTGGGCTGGGCACGGCTGTGGTGTGTGCCAGTGCCAGGGCTGGGGATGGGGAGGGCTGGGTGTGAATATATGTGTGTGTGTGTGTGT